TAGTGACGAATGTAAAGCTATTGCTTCAAGTATTTCAAATGCTTTTGTTAACAACATAAAATAAACTATGCAATCAGGCAAATAAAAAATATTATGCAAAGAAATGCATCTCGAATTATCAGTTACTGGATTGAGCAAAACAATAAAGATAAAGTAATAAACATAGTTCCTAATTAATGCTTTTCCTTTATTTCGGAAAGAATCAAGTGTAGTGAATATCATCCACACCTCAGCGATAAAATGGGAATATCGCCAGAAAAATCAATATACCTTTGCTTGTGGTATTTGGCTAATAAAGAATCTTTTAGGACAATATCAGATAGATTCAACGTTTCATTGAGTTTAAGTCATAGGGTACTGATAAGAGTACCTAATTTTATTCTCTCATTACGTTCTGAATATATTAAGTGGCCCAATCGGATTGAAAAAAAGCAATAAGTAAAGAATTTCAAAAAAAATCAATCTTTAAAGGCTGTCATAGGATATATTGATGGCTGCCACATAAGAATTAATAAACCTCAAAGAGATGAAGAAGTCTATGTTAATAGAAAAGGCTGTCATAGCCTTTTGCTCCATGGGTTGGACATTCATCCGGGGTCAGAGAGGAAACGGTGGCAGAGAAAACAAGAAGGGAGACAAACGCCCACCTAAACAAAAGAAGGCGCAGAACTTTACCGCCGAGAAGGAAACCACCAAAAGATGAACCGCTCTATGTTCTAGGGACACATGCCGCAGGGGTTCCCATAGTCGAGAATTATTAGAATTATTGCCAGAACTTTGAAATGGGCGAATTTCTTGACTTAGTTGAGAGAACATACCAACAGATGACAGCGGTAGATTATTGCAACGTCATACTCAATGCCATACTGCATGACGTGACGAAAGACAACGGCGAGGTGAAACTCAACGTGTCCACCTTTTTGCAGGATAATTTACCAGAACAGTTGCACCTGCCAACTCAATCATAGGAATATTTGATTAATAAACCGAATGTGCTCACAAACAACGGCCAACACATCCGCTATTACCTACCAGATAGTGCACTGCCTCGGAGCGTGGGTCAGGTTAATGACGAGCCATTCGGATCCGGTACTTTTTGACTGATAGACGCGGCGAATCATAATCTATACGAATGTTATATCGCCCCCTATGTGACGGCGCAGCGTCTAATAGCATCACGAGAACAGAATGGGCATTGGATGCCCCTTCCTGACGGGTTCTTCCCAGATGGTACGTACCCAATCAAAATCTATAAGGGTATGGGCCGATAGATGTCCTGGATCAAGTGGGAATAGGAAGAATGGTTTCGAATTCCCTAATAACAACACCATTTTCGGAAGGTATCAAATTAGCCCGGAACAGATGCTGCGCGTAAATGCCGTCATTGTAGACGTGAAGGCAAAAATTAAAATCACTAGCATCGGCAACGACCCCATTACTAACGTCCGAAGCTACGTAAAGAGCAAGCCAACGCAGTGTAAAGTACTTTTCATTGAGACTGTGGTACAGCAAGGCAACAGGTTAAGCCAAAACAATGGCACCATCAGATCTCGGTATGCCTTTGGTTCCGCATTATTCAACCAACTAAACATCAAAGTCACACATAGATTGCGGAACATAGATGCGCCAGGGTTGTTACTTGATGAACTATTTGATTCTAACTCACAGTTCTTATACAGGACAACAGTTGAAGGCATATAAAAGTCTTCAAGCTTACAAATATTATGAATCCATGCTAGTTCAAGATTTAAAGGCTACAAAAAGGAATAAAAAGGCTTTTGTTATTGTTGGAAAGGTAAGTTTTAGAGCAAAATTGGTCTTTATTTATTTACTTATTTGATTAAGATTTAAAAAATCCACAAGGAATGAAATAATTGTACTTAGAGCATAAATACTAACTCTCACATTTATTTCTTGTATAAATCAGCTTTGCAGGTCTTTTGTCTTGAAATCATAAAATAATTATATTCCTATGGGTATAATTAGTTTTTGTTTGTTGCAGGTGAAACATTCTCAACGCTCGAGAGAAAAGCCATTGGAAGTTAGGATAATTACCAAGCATTTCGTCAGCACACTGCACCTGTATGGCTGGATTGAGTGGGGTGTGGACATTAGCGCTATAGGCAGCCAGCAGCAGGCACCGTAGGCACTGATCTTGATTATTGATCGCTGATCATTCCCGCGCTTTTCGTTGTCACTCCTTGTCTGGAGGAAATTGAGGAATCCATTGTGCTTTCATTGCACCACACCATGACACTAAATTACATTGCACAATATTATTATTTTTTCACTGAGCATAGAAGGCACCTGTAGACAAGCTCTGGACACCCAATACAAATCAACTTTTTTGTAGATATCGAGCTCCATACTTTTCACATCGCGGCACTCAGTTATCCGGTTAAATTGGACCAAAAAGAATGTTGGATTCTTTAAAAATAATGATAGTAGACTGTAGTTTTTTTCCATCTACATTTATTCACACGAAAACTTACACTATTTACAATTTCTCGTTTTTATTAAATAGACTTATAGAAGCATATATAACTAACTGATCATATAGGACCCAGTCAGTTTTATCTGGCCCGTTCAGTTCGAGGTGCGATTCGACACTGTCCCTGTTTTCACTCACGTAGGTGCTAGAAGTCACTTTCCCGAATACTTGACAAGCGATTTTATGACGCACAGGGGCACTTTCGGCGTAGACACATACTGGGAAAATTAAAATCCGATTTTAAATTTATTGTTGGTCCAAGCCGCACTTCCTTCATTTCAACATTTTTCAATACTGGAACAGGCCACTGTGCTAGTTGTGAAGTACAGGCGACTGGTTCAGAATTACTTCGACTACTAGACAGGCAGAATAGAATTGCTACATGGGCTCTAGTAGCAGAGGTTTAGGATTACGCCAACATATAGTGAGTTTATTCCAATTTTTGTAAGCAAGTGTCAACGGCCAATCAGTTGAACAATTTCTTGTTAACAACATATTTATTTATTATTGAAATTTGAAAATTAAAGTAAACATAATTATTTATATTGGCACAATCTAAAATTTTACACATTGTCATTATCTTGGTGTTAATTTTTGAAAATCTCGAGCAAGGCAGAGGCCAAGGCTATAAATAAGAAAAACATGGAAAAATTAAATGAAAGGGAGAATTTGTGTAAAAAAACAATGCAAAGAATTCAAAGGTTTCTACTAGAGTATAGGGACGATGAAGTTACTAACTTTTTGATTGAGAAGTTTCAAGCTCGCAAGGTAACAGCTAATGAAGAATGTTATAAAACTTTTTTAGAAATACAAGTCGAAAAAGGTCTAATTAATAGAAATGCAATAACCAATGACGATTTTGAGTCAGATTATCTTGATTTAATTGCAGAAATTAGTGAATTTATCTCAGCAAATCAAAATAATGAGCCTATACAGGGTGTATCAGGTTTGACTCCAAAAAAACATTTTTAAGAAAAAGGCCTTCGAAGTTTTAACATTTTTTGACGAATATTTTAAAGTTAAAGAAAATTTTAATCATTATGAGATGTAGAAAAATTTAGTTTATCCAATTATTAAGTAATTATGCATTTTCAGTCAACAACAATAACAAAAAATCGGAAAAACAACATACAAATTTCACTTGTAAAAGGCTATCTAAACATCTGGCAACACAGCACAATAAAGAAAAGGTGGTTGAAGGTTGAACCTTGGTGGAACTGAATAAATTGATTCTTGATTTGTCTTTTCTAGTTCGGAAACGCGCGTAATTCAAATTCATTCTTTTTTGAAAATAAAATGTTTAGAAAAGTCGAATATGCAGATACTTGTTTAGGCAGAATCGTTGCAAAATGCTCATTTAGCTACCAGAATTCACAGTAAAACTAGGGAAAGATTTTCCAAAAGAAAAGCACTCACCTTATGGGAGAACATTGTGCCCGTGTTACAAAGATTGCGTGATACAAGAAGTGTGAGTTGTGAGTGTGCAAAATCTGCGAGTTGATTTTAGTGTTTTGAGAACTTTTCAACAAAAATTAATATTTTCATAATAAGGATTTGAAAAGTAGCTGAGGAAGTATGATTTGATTTTTCTCTTGAATGTTTAGTGCAAAAATGTCATTCAATGCAATTCACAACTTAATAAAATGGCACATTTTTTATTTTTACTAGAAAAGTGATAAAAATGCAAGTTGTTATTTACATTATTTGAAAGCCAATAACAAACCAAAACGTAAACAGATGGAAATAAATAAACGCCGTGCAAAAAAAAGTTTCAAATTTACCAGTTTTATTTATTTATATCGTGGCAGAGATAAATACCTGCACAATGTTGTCACGTTGTTGACATTTTTCCAAATTTAAATTCTGCGATAACTCCGAAAACACTAACAATTGACCCATGGTCAATAAGACACTTTTAGCTTGAAATGGACCATATTATCTCATGTTAAAATATTTGTACTCATACCTGATACACCCTGTAATCTCGCCTCAGTTAGCTATATCTAACAATTCGATGGTATTTTGGCAAAAGGGCGAACACGCCAATTTTTACAAAATGGAGCTTAATACGTTTTCGGATAAAATATAACATCCTACACGATTTACCAAAAGGACGAATTGATAACTTTGAAAATAAACATTTTATTTAAAAAAAACTTTAGAAGCACTGGGCGAATATACAATTAACATGGCATCAAAAGGACGAACGTACGTATGAATTTGATGGGAAGGGAGCCCACGAGGATTACAATCAGTCTAGGTTATGATGGTGGTGAGAGCACATTGTGTCTTTGGTAAGTGAAAATCTCTTTATTTTGTAGTTAAATAAATGTATTTGATTACTCTTTATATAAACTAGATGTAGTGTAGAGATTTCTCTGTGAATTCATCGGATAAAAAGTAATGGCATATTCGTCGTTTCTTCCATTTATATGAATGCACGTTCGTCCTTCTGCTTAGTTGCAATGAGGATATTCGCCCTTTTGCTAACTCAAATTTGTTATTCTAGATCCGCACCATGATGATGTCCGATAGAACGAAAAAAATTATGGCGTTAGCATTGGGAGGGAGAGGAAAAAGTGAAAATGAATTTAAAGACAGTGACACAAATAGAACAAAAAACAATAGTGAATTGGCATTGGGAGGGGAAGAAGAAAGTGCAAACAAACTTATAGAAAGTGACACAAATGGAACAAAAAACAATATTGAATTGGGAGGGCAAGAAGGAAGTGCAAAGAAATTTATAGAAAGTGACACAATTGGAACAAAAAACAATATTGAATTGGCATTGGGAGGGCAAGAAGAAAGTGCAAACAAATTTATAGAAAGTGACACAAATGGAACAAAAAACAATATTGAATTGGCATGGGAAGGGCAAGAAGAAAGTGCAAATTCATTCATAGAAAATGACACAAATTTTAATATTCTGACATCTAGTCTTGACCTCGGACTGTCACAGAGTCTAAAAGATGACTTAGACATCGATATACTTGATGCAAATGGGTCAATTTCCCTAACAATATTAGGAAAAAATGAAGAAAACCAAAGCGGTATTATTTTCGAGCCTTCTTCTCATAATAATGTAGCTACAGTGCCTGTAAATGAAGTTACTAATAAGTTATAGCCAGTTAATAACATTTTTGAGGAGCCTGGAGTAAGGTCATCTTCTGAGTCCAGCACTGATGGTTCAGAATTTATTCCTGAAGAAGAAATGAATGCTATTAATTCAGACACAAGCCTAGAATCAGAGACCAATACTGAAGAAAGCGACAAGAACGAAGAAACAGTTATTGACGAGTGTCGTACTTATAACATAAGAAAACGGAAAAAAGTTAATAAAAGGCAGACACAAAAGGTAAAACGAAACAGAGGTGAAAAATATGTGACATCCAAAGGATTAGAGAAAAAAGAGAGACAAGTTAAGCCGCACACTTGCTTGATAGGGAAGTGTCCGAATAAGTGCAGAGACTTTGATGAAGAAACCAGAGCAAGCTTATTTAAAACTTTTTGGGCTTTACCTTACCAGGGACAACGCGACTTTATTGCATCTAATATAACGGTTCGAGAGGTGAAAAGACGCCGTGTTGGCAACGCAGAAAGTAGAAAAGACTTTACAAGAGGCTACTATTTACTTTTATTGAATGAAAGAGTAAAAGTTTGCCGAAAATTTTTCATGAATACTTTGGACGTTACTGATAAGCGAGCAGATAAGCTTCTTCGGTATACAGAACTTCACCGGAATGAAATAGTCTCAATGTCTCAAGTAGATCGGAGAGGTAGACACCCACCTAAAAATAAAACTGCAGCTAATGTAAGGACTGATGTTATTAACTTTATCAAAATGCTACCGGCTGTACCCTCTAGTCTAAGAGCCAGTGAATTTTTTTCCGTAAAAAGTTGCCGATGGAAAATTTCATGCTTAAGCGATGTAATATTATCCCCCGAGATCGAAAACCATAGTCTGGCAGCATGTAGTGGGGAAGTTTGGCATAGGCATAATTAATAAGTCATTAAAAAATTCACGAAAATCGAACTATTTGCCGATGGTCAATTTTTGCGGCATATCATTCAAAAATGTTCCCTTAACAAGGCTGTAATAATGCTAGACGATTTTCACGGGTTTAAAGCCTTGCCAGACGCCCCCAGATTGCAAAAAAAATATAAAATTTTCGAAATACTTGCCGAATTATTATGAGAAAAAAATTGTGAATCGCATGTAAATATTGTCACGACGAGGCTGTAGACGGAGTCGTGGTAACCACACGAGTACTATATTGAGCGTTACCGTACGTGTGATATACATTTTAGCTACAACTCAGATCTTTGTTTTATGTATTGGATGGTTTTGATTTTTCACAACAGATTATTCGGTGAGCTTAAAGCTCAAGGCTGAAAGAAAATATTTTCTCAACAAGGACTTCAAGCAACACTATCAGCAGCATCAGGTATTAGTTCTACTTTTAATATTCATAAATAAAAAATGAGTTACGTAAAGAGCCTATTAAATGACTAATGATATAAGGAGCTCAATACATCACTAGTACGATAATACAACTTATAACGTAACCCAAATAGGTTACATTATCGTAATAAGCTCTCATAGTATGGATGGGTGGGTCGTATTTAAAAGTAAAAAATCATTATTACACAAAATCATACATAAAACCTAGCTCATTCTTTTTTTGACATTTCAATACAATTATAATATATCGATAATTTATATTTTATTCCATGTCAATTCATTGTTCACTATTTAATTATTTTATTTCAATAATAAATTAACAGAAAAAAAAGAAATATAATTATATTACAATGAATTATAAAGTACACGTAGGTACCTGGAATGGTCGCGCCGATTTATAAAATTGAGATAGTACAAAAAAAAAATTATTTGGGGTTAGGAATATACCAAACCTCACAGCAATGAACTAGAAAGAGAAAAGTAGCCATCAGTATACCGGGTGATTCTCAGATGACGCTCGTCCCTCTATTTTTTTTTATTTTTTAAGATTTTCATCGCATATTTTGGTAGAAGGTATAAGTCATTGGTGTGCATTGTTTCACATATTAAGTACCTTTCTGATACTTCCAGTTTCACCGGAAACGACCCCAACTTTGAAATTTTAAATGGAACACCCAGTATATTTTTAGATATTTGAATTCGCCATTTGATTCTAAATATGAAAATGTATATCGATATAATTTTTTGACATTTCTGAAACCGAAATTACCAATTCGCACTTTTCATCTAGCCTGCCATGAGTGACATTAATTGCTGGGTTTTGTACCCAAATAACTGTTAAAATTATTATTTATTTTTATTATTGGAAAATGCAACTTCTACAGCCATTTGAAATTTTCAAATGCGTAAAAGTTGATTTTTTCTTATGGAAAGGGTAGTGGCTCACGGAATCAACTAAACAACTTTTTTTCGACTAATAGATTGATACTACACAATAATATTTCCTTTCATTTTAAAATTCTGCTAGATTGCTTAACTTTGAAAATACCCTCGTAAAACAAGTTAGTCACCTGAAATAATGTTGAATGATAACCACCTTTTATTAGAAATTTGACATATCCAATTTGACACAAAAAATAAGGGAAAAATACACTAAAACGGTGTTTACACTAGATGCAATACAATTTTAAAAATGGCATGCAGTCGGCTGCACATGCAATTTTATGCCTTCTACCGTTTACATAGGATGCAATTAAATTGCATGCAGTCATTTGTATAGCGGGTTGTGCCAACTTAAAGAAAATGACTATTGTGTTTTCATTTTTGGATTTTGCAAATAGACCGATCTCCTATTACCTGGACTGCGCGCGTCGCTTGTAGGCTGCAAGTGAGCGTCCAATGAGAAGCAAGTTTGTGACAGGCTTGCGTAATATTATTATTCAGGGGCCAGTTCAGAATGAATCGTTCCTTCTTTCTTTGTAACGTGTAATTTGACAAGGAACAAACTAATACTTTACATATTACTTGAACTCACCGCAGTTTCGTTTAAGGTTATGTTAGATTATACTTGACATATTCCTTTGCAATTTCATTGAGCAATGTTGCCGGATGAAACATTTATCAAAATAAAAGTGCAAACGATGTTCATCCACTTTAAAGCTCTTCTTTTGTCTGATTTAGGGCATTGTAAAACCCTTGACACTATATCACTTCTTTAATGTTATAATGTTCGATTTGTATTGTCTACATTTGTTCTGCAACAATACAATCTGGCTACACTGCAGCCTACGACTTGCGCGCGCATGTCATCTTTTATTGCTTTCTAACTTGTATTTATTACAATTAAGCTCCCTTTTTCTAATCATACGAGATAGGTCTATTAATATTAATTTTTACAACAAACCAAACCAAACCAACCCGCAGGTGGGGGAAGTAAACACAAATTTGACGAAAATGGCACGCAACGTGCAATAAAATTAGCGCAAGTTCTAATTCCATGCAATGCAATGAAATTGCATCAGCTTATCGAAAAAGAACAAAGTGCGCATGCCTTCAGGCAAGAAACTATTGCATTGCACGAGATTGCATGTAGTGTAAACAGGCTTTAATACACACTGGAATTTGTAAAACGACTAAATTTGTAAAACGACTCTCATCAGAGTACAATATTTGGGATGGAAATCTGTTATTTTCTCTGTGCTTTTGTAAATACCAGTTGCAATATTCAAGGCTTCGATCATAATCAGTTGGATACAAGTGCTGATGTAGCGGGTATTTGAATAACTTGAATTTTTGTTTATTGAGAATTCTCCATACTGAAGCCTGACTTACGTCGCATTCTGCAGCGATTTCCCTCGTTGAAGCTACCCTATTTACAGCAACCATATCCAACAAATCAACTTCCTTTTCCTCATTTGAAACGAATAGTCCGTTAACGTTATTTGATTCAGTACTCATGATTTCTATCAATCTGGGAAAATAATGTCGACTTGGGTGGCGACGATTTGGATATTTCGCAGCGTATGCGCGAGCTGCGTGTGGCGCAATCTGCCTGCACCCACCGAATACTAAAATCATGTCAATCTTTTTGCTGCGTATGAAATTCATAATTAATTCTCTTTCACAGAAAAAAAAAACGCTTGAATACGAAATTAGTCTGACAACTTGTATCAAATTTCTAATAAAAGACGGTGCTTAACGTCATTCAAGGTAATCAACTTGTATTACGAGGGTGATTCCAAAGATTTGATTCCAAAAAATTAAAGTTAAGCAATCTAGCAGAAGTTTAAAATGAAAGGAAATATTATTGTGTAGTATCAATCTATTAGTCGGAAAAAAGTTGTTTAGTTGATTCCGTGAGCCACTACCCTTTCCATAAGAAAAAATCAACTTTTACGCATTTGAAAATTTCAAATGGCTGTAGAAGTTGCATTTTGCAATAATAAAAATAAATAATAATTTTAACACTTATTTGGGTACAAAACCTACCAATTATTGTCACTCATGGCACGCTAGATGAAAAGTGCGAATTGGTAATTTCGATTTCAGAAATGTCAAAAATTTATATTGATATACATTTTCATATTGAGAATAAAGAGGCGAATTTAAATATCTAAAAATATACTGGGTGTTCCATTTAAAATTTGGAAGTTAGGGTCGCTTCCAGAGAAACCGGAAGTATCAGAAAGGTACTTATTATGTGAAACAATGCACACTTATACCTTCTACCAAAATATGAGATGAAAATCTTAAAAAATAAAAAAGTTACAGGGACGAGCGTCATCTGAAAATCACCCTAGCTATCTTTGGACACACTAAGAGAGAGACAAATGCCATGTCCGACAACGGTGGGATTCATTCCTGTTACGTGTAGTATACCGGGCGTCCCACCGAAAGCTGTCAATGGCCTATATCTTGAAAGCACTAATCGATAAAGAAAAAACCCGTTTGAAGGGGGAACCAAAGAAAGGTACTTTTCAGGTCTCCCCGAACCACCACTCAGGCGGTAGCCACCTTAACCTCAAAATCTTAAATGGCACTATAGGTCATGTGATACCTTGTTTGAGGGTTTTTTTAATTCTCTAAACGAATCTGCATAAAAAAATTATCTAGATACAATTTTAAATTGTCAGAAAATAGCCCATACGAGTGAACAACTTTGCCCCCTTGAGGAGGTGAACACTGTCAGATACAGTGAGAGGAAAGGGGTTCGAATAAATAAAACCTTGATGATTTTTTCAAAAGTCTCCATGTTATTAATTTTGTATAAAATCGATCTTAAATCGCATTTATCTGTTCCACCAGATCAAATGAGGTTTTCATCAAAATTAGACTCACATTTGAATCTGGATAATTTTTTTTTACAGGTCCATTTAGAAAATTGAATCATCCCATGACCTATAGTACCATTTAGGATTTTGAGGTTAGGATGGCTACAGCCGGAGGAAAAGTTCGCGGAGAGCTGAAAAGTACCTTGTTTTGGTTCCCCCTTCCAACCCTCCAAACGGTTTTTTCTTTTTTTTTTTATCGAATACCGTTTTCAAAATATAGGCCATTGACAGTTTTCGGTGGGACACCCGGTAGGTATAGTTCATTCATTGATGTATTATTATACAAACGCTTTTGTTCCACTCATTCCTTGTCTTTCCATCTCATTTGCTCTCATACGAGATCACCGACATGTGGCCACGGCATATTATCCGCTCCCAGACGCGTGGAGGGAATAATATGTGCGTTCTATGTGCGTTCACGAACGCGTAAAATAACGAACTTCGGCGTCGTCTAGCAAGAATTAATCCTCGATGAAACCGTCTCGCGTTAGGTTTGTTCGATTAGCAATTTTTTTCTCTTCAATGTAAAAAAAACAGGTTTCGGCAAGTTTTTCGATTTTTTTATATTTTTTTTGCATTTTGGGAGCGTCTGGCAAGGCTTTAAACCCGCGAAAACCGTCTGGCATTATTACAGCCTTGTTAGTGGCACATTTTTAAATGATATGCCGCAAAAATTGACCATCGGCAAGTATTTCGAATTTGGTGAATTTTTTAATGACTAATTAATTATGCCTACGACAAACTTCCCCACTACATGCTGCCAGACTATGGTTTTTGATCGCGGAGGATAAAACTACATCGTTTAAGCAAGAAATTGTCCATCGGCAACTTTTTACGCTAAAAGTTCACTGGCTCTTAGACTATTCTCATTATTGTCCGAAACAGAGCACAAGGAAGTATTTGCCAAGCGAATTAAAAAATGTAACAAATTTGCACAGATTATACAAAACATATCAAGAAAAGGAAAATAAAACATTCGTTAGTTTAGCTGTTTTCAAAAAAATTTTTCACGATGAATTTAATATGACTTTTCATGTACCTAGGAAGTACAAGTGTGTTTTATGTGAGCAGTTTAACAGACTTATAGGCCCTCATTCGGAGGATGAAACAGAGAAGTTTACAGGCCATATTTTAGAAAAGGAACAGATGAAGATAAAATTTCTGGAGGACCAAGGATTGTCGAATTCCAAAGAAAATAATAATTGTCTTCTTTGTACATCATTCGACTTGCAGAAAGTTCTGGGAACACCACACGGTGACAATTTTTTAATTAGATTCACAAGTAGATACGCAGTCTATAATTTAACATTTTACGAAAGTGGTACCCGCAACGTTGAGTGTTTTCTCTGGGAAGAGTCCCAAGGAAAAAAAGGGGCAAATGAAGTATGCTCAATTGTTATTAAATATCTGGAATCTGTGGATGCTAGAGGTGGCATAACTGAAATATTGCTCTACTGTGATAATTGTTCTGGACAAAACAAGAACTACCAAATGATGAGCGCTCTTAATTGGTTTTTAAAAAAGTCAATAAATGTTAAAAAAAATAGTACTTTATTTTCTACTTCCAGGGCATAGCTATATGCCAGTCGACTCCGTCCACGGGACAATAAAAAACAGTATTCGAAACAAAGTTGTTTGGGCTCCTTCGGAAGGGTCAACAATAATCAGAAACGCTAGAGTAAAATATACACCTTATAAGGTACACACACTCAATCAGTGTTGCCGATTGCCGCATAATTATGCGATTTCCGCATAATCTAGAAGGGGTCGCATAATTTCCGCATTTAAATAAAAACCGCATTTTTCCGCATTTTTTCGCACTTTCAGGATATTTTATAACATCACCTTCCTTGAAATGTGATTTTAGGAATCAAAAATGCTTATACGATTTAGAATTGCTCAATTTTTTTGATGGAAATTATACAGTTCTGACTCCCGTATTATCACAAGAAGCGCGTTCATAAATGCTTAAAAAGTCATCGCTCTGGAGCACTACAGACAGAAGCGCTTCAGTTCAGTTGTGCCCTAGAGCGCTCGAATGTGTGAAAGCACCTATTTCACAAGATCGCGAAAAAACCTAAACGTCACATCGGTCGTTTTGATTTGACTTGCCGTTGCCGCCAATGAATGAACTATCTTGGGGAATCCCCGAGCCGAACTAAACTTCGTAGTTCGTTATTATTGGTCGGGGATTTTTGACAGTTTTACTGGATCGACTGATCGAGATTTGCTTGCATTTGGTACATCTTGGAGGTCATGAATTTGCCAACTGTATGGAATTTTGATTTGTTGAAACAGTGTCTGCGATAGTGTGTTTTATAGGATTACTCTAACCGCTGATTGATAAAAAAAAAAACGAGCAATGGATCGTTGGCTTTCTAATGCGAAGGTACGTTAAAATTTAGCTATAAATATAAAGGGTTAGTAGGCTAGAAATGTTTTTCTATTACTTTTTTGTTAAAAAAACTATAGATATTTTTATTCTTAATCTCTGTTAACATTTCCTAGGCAAAAAAAAACAACGAAATTTCTGAATCCGCCGGGAAGGAACCTCAACCAGGCTGTAGTTATCAAAATACGGATATCGCGTCTTGTTCTCCTAATTTTGACAATGATGAGGATGAGGATCAATTAATGGAAACGGATAATGTTGATGTTGATGTTGAGTCGGAAGCAGAGCGAGCTGTGAGTATTTTAAATTTGTACTTACCGTTTACTAAAACTTTATATATAATTATTCAGATCGATATTATGCCGACTTCAGCAGCCAAAAAACAAGGGCCTTCAGGATCGAAAAAAAAAGACAAAAAAAAATTTGTCGCATCCTGGTGTCAAATGCCTATTTTTCATGAATTCGCCTTCTGCAAAGTGTGCCAAATGGATATAGTTGCTCATAAAAGTGTTCTTGTAAGCCACTCAAAAACTGAAAAACATAAATTAAATTATCTTCGAGGAGCTAAAAATACAAAAATCGACGACCTTTTTAAGGGGAAAACTGCAAATGACGTATCGGTTAAAATAGCTGAATTGAAACTATGTTCAATGTTGGCAACTAATGATCTTTCGTTTTTATTAATGGACACATTAACTCCGCTGCTAAAAAATGTCTTTCCAGATTCCAAAATTGCTCAAGACATTCAATTGAAGAGAACAAAAGCAACCGCAGTGTGCAAAAGTTTAGGGGATAATTTTCTTTTTGATCTATATTCAAAAATTAAAGACCCTGGATCATTTTTCTCAATAATAATGGACGAAACAACGGATATTTCCGTTAAAAAACAATGTGCTTTCACTGTCATCTATTTTGATAATATTGATAATAAACCAAAAACTAGATTTTTTGATTTAGTAGAACCACAAGGTTCATCTGCTGTGGAACTTTTCACAGCATTGAAAGAATCTGTTGTGTCGAAAAATATTCCTTTTTCCAATTTAGTAGGATTCTCATCGGATACTACAAATGCCATGGTTGGTGAATACAATTCTGTGTTCTCTCATTTAAAAGAAGAATTGCCCAGCATTGTATGCATAAGGTGCTCTTGTCATATGGCACATCTGGCCACCTCCAAGGCATGTCTCCAGCTTCCTAGGCGTGTAGAGGACTTATTGCGAAACATCGGGAGTCATTTCAATAGGAGCGCCTTCCGAAGGCAAAAATTTGAAGAGTTCCAACATTTCTTCTAAGTGGAGATCCACAGAATTTTATCACCAGCCATGACAAGATGGCTTTCTGTTAAAGAAGTAGTCAATAGGGTATTGGAACAATATGAGCCATTGAAGGCATACTTCACAGCATCTGTTTTCGAAGATCCATCCCTAACTACCGAAACTATACTAGAAACAATGGTAAATCCTTTCAGTAAAATTTACCTCGAATTTATGTCATATTCATTGGGAATCATGACAGATTTCAATGTTCTTTTTCAATCCGAAAAACCTCTTCTCCACAAGTTGAAGCCTGAGACAGAAATGCTACTTAAAACTTTGTGCTCAAATTTTATAAAAGTATCAACAATCAGGAATGTGCCAGATATTTTCACATTTAATCATCAAAACCCGTTAAATTTTATTCCTTTGGAACAAGTTTATTTGGGCATATCAGCAACAGAATCCATATCAGAATTGAAAAAGTCAGCAAACATTCAGGAAAAAGAATTTTCCATTTTTTATAAAACAATATTGTCATTTTACATTCAATTAGTATCGGAAATTAAAGAAAGGTTTAAATTTGAAGATCCCATTTTTAAAATTGTTGAGGTATTAGATCCAAAAACAGCTCAAAAATTTGAAATCAAATCTCTGGCACATATTATTAATAGATTCCCAGTTTTAAAAGAGTACGTTAATATCCAAGAGCTTGATAACGAGTGGCGAAGACATGCTTTGCTGAATTTTGAAGAACTAAATCTTAACTTGAATGATGCTGAGCAATATTGGTCAGACATACTAAATATGAAAAATGATGCCGGTATGCCATTGTTTCCTAATCTAAAACCCGTCCTAGCACTACTTCTTGTTTTGCCGTATTCGAATGCGAGTGTAGAGCGTATTTTTAGTGATCTTTTTAATATTAAAACTGACAAAAGAAATTTATTAGATACAACCACTATTAGAGCCCTTTTAGCAACTAAGGAAGGGGTGAAAGAGAGTGGAGGCTGTACTAAATTTCAGCCTTCAAAGCGAATGTTGTATCAGAAAGTATGGCAAAACAAAAAATAGTTATAGTAGTATAAGTTTTATAATGGTGGCCTAAGTGGATGGCGTTAATGCTGCCTGAAATTAATAATGACTGACCCTGTAAATTAATAAATAAGTGTTTAGATAATAGTACCTACTGTATTCTGTATTAAAATATGCTACCTATTACATTATTTGAAATCATTTATTTATTTAGTAGAATACACCTTATTTTCACATTGTAAATACATATAGGTAAGTAGAAAGTAGAAAGTACAGAAAAAATATTTTTATTTACAATATTCATTTTAAACACTTTCTATTTTTGGTGAATGCGCAATTATAAATAAAATTACTTGCTAACAAGGTGATGCGTATTTTTTCCTTCATATTTTATGAGAAAATGTATTTCAGCAAAAACCGCATAATTCTGATCGAAATCGCATTTTTTTTGTTCCGAGAGAGCATTATTTTGTCAAGAGCAGTTGGCAACACTGCACTCAATTATAAAGACTTTCTTGACTGGAAAACACTACAAACGAAGACATTTACGAATAATTTAAGAAAAGAAGATGGATCCACCATCAAACTTAGGGATGTACGTCTAATTATGTTTGAAAAAGAGGATCCTAATTATACTCATGTGTCTACGTCATCCTTCCGGAACGAAATGTCTAAAATAGCCATAAAAAAAGAGACGAGAACCTCTGTTAACCAGAACATAACCATTGGAAAAGCTTATAATGCGAGACTACCTATAGCCACAGAGAAGTATCAAGGACTAAAAAATTTATGCACAAAAAATGTAATTCCAATAGAGTATCAACACCAATATTTAACTCTACCAACTAAACCAACAGTACCTCATTGTCTAATGGAGACAGATGAAGAAGACGAGGTAAATAAAATGACCTGGTAATTTCTAAACTTATTTTTGATTTTCGATTTTCAGGTTCTAGGTGACAAGGAATAAACTCTAACGATAACTTGAAGAATACTTTTTTTATTTTGTTTTAAGAATAAGGATTTTTTTTAAAGTTTAACTGCGATAAAATAACCAGTAAGACTGTAAGACTGTGGAGTACAAAAATAATTATTCTAGGTTATAAGAATTGAAGTTTATTTTTTACAATCTGCGATAAGATAACAAAATTAAAAATGTGTTGAATTGTAGGAATACAATTTTATTTTCAACTTTTGCTACTACAGTTTTCATTTTGTTTTCAGTTCCCATCAGGTCCCTTTCTTTACCCCTAAGCTCGCCCCTAACCTATAATTTTATAAAAGCAAAAAGGACGAACTGACAATACACAACTAGGTAGAAGGGCGAATGTTAGGGCTAATACACAACAGACTAATAAGTAATAATAGCAAAAGGACGAATTTACACATTTTTCTATTTTATTCATGGAAAAATTGGCTTATGTCGAAAAATAGCATTTGAAAGTGTTTTCCTATACTCCTTGAAGAAATATAAACCTCAAAACTTTATGTCGTTTACACAGTGTACTTAAAAATGTTTTTAGCCTCTCGTGTAAAATTACAAAAACGGCGTTTTCGCCCTTTTGCCAAAATATCATCGAATTATTCTGCCTCGAATTCTGCAAATAATAATGTATCCACTGCCGAGCTTTTGCATATTGAAATTCCAACCTTTGATGGAAAAAATCTAAATGAATTTAAACATTTTTTAAACATGTTCATGGCAGTTATTCATAAAAATAAAAGTTAGAGTGACGTTCAAAAACTTTACTATTTAGGAAACTATTTAAAGGGTAAGGCATTTGCTCTCAATAATAATTTTCCTATTGTAAGTGACTCTTACGGTGAGGCTTTAAAAATATTGCAGAAACGATATAACAATGAGTCACTGTTAGTTAATTCCTATAGGTAAGCCCTCCTAGATATTCCTAGCATTCAAAAAAGTTCTTTCCATAGCATTAGGGGCTTCGTAAGTGAAATAAAACAACTCGGTGCATTAGAAAATTTAAAACAGCCAGTGCAGGCTTGGGATGCTCTTTCAATTTGCATACTTTCAAGAAAGCTTGATCAGTTTACGAATAGAGCGTATTGTAACAGAATTAATAGTAAATTTCAAATCTCGGTTCAAGTACGTATTTCATGGGAGTTACCAGAGACGGTTTTTAGAAATAGTTAAAATGTTATCTTAATGGGTTTTACAAACATATGGCGATTCTGGGAACGATAACTAATCTGGTCGAGAATTAAGCGAAAGCACTTAAAGCAAAAAAATTTATCAAATTTTATAGTTTCAAGTCAAATATAAGCCAAAATTGAGAAATTTATTAGGCAAAATTATGTGTTCTCCTAGATAAACACCAAATGTGATCCTAATCTGTAGCTGCACCAGATCACGACATATGTTTGTAATAAAGTTTTTGGTAATCGCCGCCATATTGGTGTGCCTCCATTGCCGACGTTATAACATGGTGCCTACGTCACAGCTGGTATTTTGGCGTAGGGGGGAATTTGTTACACCCAGGCTTTATGGGAAAAGGCCATCCTTTAGTAGTAGTGTGTATCATTCTTGATTTGCACCAACCATTTTAATAGAGGTTTAACAATAATCAACACTTGAAATGCCATTTTTTCATGTGAATTGTGTAACGCGGCGATGCGCCGTCGGGTGTGGGGCGCTTTCAGCTCTTCGCGGTCGCGTGACGTGTCAACCGAGAGCTGAGAGGATGTCATGGAATACAAAACGAAAACGGAAAGCGCATAGAGCTTAGTACATAATTACTTGCGAATCGCGCATTGCGGAAAGCGAATAATGATCCTATTGGTCGATTTTATATTTGTCAAGGATGGAAATTTAATCAACCAACAGGATAATTATTCGCGATTCCTAGGTATATGAACTGAGCTTTACTACGGAATTTTTGCAGATTTTTTTAATTTCAAGAAGAGGGCCCCTATGTTCCGGGGCCCCAGCGCTTCGCGCACCCCCGCTCAACGATAGCTACGCCACTGGATTGCCTCGGGTTCGGAAAATTTGGTATTTAGGATCCTTTTCAGATTAAATTTAATTTTCAGCATAATTATGGTACCCACGTAAACTAAGATGTGACAGAATTATTCACGCTACCAAAATATTTATTCTTAAGATCTCAATTTTGTCACAGTATCAAATAGATAGGGAGCAGTTACAGATGCCCACATTGGATAATTTTCTTATTTATTTGGAAAGTAGAACTGCTACTCTCAAAGCTGTTGCTCTACCTGAAAATAAAGTAGTTTATCATCATAATAAAAATGCAAATTACAGCCATGTAAGTACAAGTTCAAATTATGATAATAATAATAATAATAATAATAATAATAATAATAATAATAATAAGTGTCCCAATCTATCCAAAATATGCTCAAACACTGGGTCCAATTTCAAAGGTGCAAGGTGCCCATAATGAAATTATAGACTTATTTAAAATGCTTAATACCGATAGAGCCTCCAAATTTTTGTGCCTCTGATAGATTAGAATGCAGCTTGAAGACTCATTTACGTGAGGTAAGGTTATTGGCAGATCTGTGTGAATACAGGTTGAGGGTGTACTCAACTCTCGTCCCATTTGCCCACTCTCATCCAGCCCTTCTGATTTGGAACCTATCACTCCAGAACATTTTCTGATAGGACGCTCTCTTATCGTACTTCCAGAAAAGGACACAAATAACAGAAAATCGACTAAATTCGTACAAACGATTGGAACAAATCCGTCAACACATATGGCGTCGTTGGTCTGTCGAATACATAGCTGAGCTACAGTTCCGCCAAGTGGAAGCAAAATCAGAACAATATTAAATTAAACAGTCTCGTAGTGATAAAAGAAAAAAATGTGCCGCCTCTCAAATGGCTTCTTGGTAGAGTGTATGCATTTTACCTCTAAATCCCATATTACTTTGCTTATATAATAAAATATCTAAACTAACACCAAGAGCCTTACTTAGGTCAACAAACATTTCAACAACGGACTTTTCATTATCCAAAGATGTTGCTTATCTATAAGATTAGGTTTTTTTTTTGGTGATATTGCCATCTAGAAGTTGTGATCCTCCACAACCCAGTTCATCTGGCACCAGGAATTTTAACGCGCCTGGAACAAGTAGTATGAATTATAATGATGGTAGGTCGATACTTTAGGTTTCAATTTAATCCGATTGACAATAATTACTTCAGCCCCTTAGTTGCCGTAAAGGTATAACCTCTGATGGTATTTTCTTTTTCAGGCTCGGGTGCATGGGGATCATACATACTCCCAGAAGAAATATTGTGGAGGAATTGGTCAAGAAAATGTTAATACTAAAAGAAGAATTAATTGCCAGATATGAAGGTATAAGAAGGGTGCTAACAGCTAATGAAATAGAAGAGGTAATAGTTATATTCTGAATAGTGACAATGTACAGTTTCAGATATGGCTACATGTAAAATATTGCCATCTAGAAATTGTGATTCTGCACAACCCAGTACATCTAAAATATTGCGATCTAGCAGTTGTGATTCTGCACAACCCAGTACATCTAAAATAATGTCATCTAGCAGTTGTGATTCTGCACAACTCAGTATATCTAAAATATTGGCATCTAGCAGTTGTGATTCTGCCCAACCCAGTACATCTAAAATATTGCTATCTAGCAGTTGTGTGTCATCCAAAAATTGAATAATTGTTTATTTCTGGCTGGTACATTACTCTGAAAGTGCCATGATAAGGCGCTCAATATACAATATTATTAAAAAACATTTTAATCCTCATCCCCATAAAGTTGTAGTGGAATATGGCACAGGGGAAATTGAAGATCCCTCCATCTTCGCGTTGCACCTGTAGAAGGATTTTTTGCAAGGCAAGGCAGTTTTTCTTTCCAATAAATAAAAATGCATTTTCTTTTTCAGGTTCAGGGGCATGGGATCATACATACTCCCAGAAGAAATATTGTGGAGGAATTGGTCAAAAAAATGTTAATACTAAAAGAAGAATTAATTGCCAGATGTGAAGGTATGAGGAGGGCGCTAACAGCTAATGAAATAGAAGAGGTAATAGTTATATTCTGAAGAGTGACAATTTACAATTTCAGATATGGCTACATGTAAAATATTGCCATCTAGGAGTTGTGATTCTGCACAACCCAGTACATCTAAAATATTGCCATCTAGCAGTTGTGATTCTGCACAACCCAGTACATCTTAAATATTGCTATCTAGCAGTTGTGTGTCATCCAAAAATTGAATAATTGTTTATTTCTAGCTGGTACATTACTCTGAAAGTGCCATGATAAGGTGCTCAATATACAATATTATTAAAGAACATTTTAATCCTCATCCCCATAAACTTGTAGTGGAATATGGCAGAGGGGAAATTGAAGATCCCCTCCATCTTCGCGTTGCACCTGTAGAGGGATTTTTTGCAAGGCAAGGCAGTTTTTTTTCAATAAAAAAAATGTATTTTCTTTTTCAGGTTCGGGGGCATGGGGATCATACATACTCCCAGAAGAAATATTGTTGAGGGATTGGTCACGAAAATGTTAATACTAAATGAAGAATTAATTGCCAGATGTGAAGGTATGAGGAGGGCGCTAACAGCTAATGAAATAGAAGAGGTAATAGTTAAATTCTGAATAGTGACAATGTACAGTTTCAGATATGGCTACATGTAAAATATTGCCATCTAGAAGCTGTGATTCTCCACAACCCAGTACATCTAAAATATTGCTATCTAGCAGTTGTGTGTCATCCAAAAATTAAATAATTGTTTATTTCTAGCTGGTAAATTACTCTGAAAGTGCCATGATAAGGTGCTCAATATACAATATAATTAAATGAACATTTTAATCCTCACCCCCATAAACTTGTAGTGGGATATGGCAGAGGGGAAATTGAAGATCTCCTCCATCTTCGCGTTGCACCTGTAGAAGGATTTTTTGCAAGGCAAGGCAGTTTTTTTTTCAATAAAAAAAAATGTATTTTCTTTTTCAGGTTCGGGGGCATAGGGATCATACATACTCCCAGAAGAAATATTGTGGAGGAATTGGTCAAGAAAATGTTAATACTAAAAGAAGAATTAATTGCCAGAAGTGAAGGTATGAGGAGAGCGCTAACAGCTAATGAAATAGAAGAGGTAATAGTTATATTCTGAATAGTGACAATGTACAGTTTCAGATTTGGCTACATGTAAAATATTGCCATCTACAAGTTGTGATTCTCCACAACTCAGTACATCTAAAATATTGCTATCTAGCAGTTGTGTGTCATCCAAAAATTAAATAATTGTTTATTTCTAGCTGGTAAATTGCTCTGAAAGTGCCACGATAAGGTGCTCAATATACAATATTATTAAAGAACATTTTAATCCTCTTCCCCATAAACTTGTAGTGGAATATGGCAGAGGGGAAATTGAAGATCCCCTCCATCTTTGCGTTGCACCTGTAGAAGGATTTTTTGCAAGGCAAGGCAATTTTTCTTTTCAATAAAAAAAAATGCATTTTCTTCTTCAGGTTCAAGGGCATAGGATCATACATACTCCCAGAAGAAATGTTGTGAAGGAATTGGTCAAGAAAATGTTAATTCTAAAAGAAGAAATAATTGCCAGATGTGAAGGTATGAGGAGGACGCTAACAGCTTATGAAATAGAAGAGGTAATAGTTATATTCTGAATAGTGACAATGTACAGTTTCAGATATGGTTACATATAAAATATTGCCATCTAGAAGTTGTGATTCTGCACAATCCAGTACATCTAAAATATTGCTATCTAGCAGTTGTGTGTCATCCAAAAATTAAATAATTGTTTATTTCTAGCTGGTAAATTATTCTGAAAGTGCCACGATAAGGTGCTCAATATACAATATTATTAAAGAACATTTTAATTATCATCCCCATAAACTTGTAGTGGAATATGGCAAAGAGGAAATTGAAGATCTCCTCCATCTTCGCGTTGCACCTGTAGAAGGATTTTTTGCAAGGCAAGGCCGTTTTTCTTTTCAATAAAAAAAAAATGCATTTTCTTTTTCAGGTTTGGGGGCATGGGGATCATAAATACTCCCAGAAGAAATATTGTGGAGAAATTGGTCAAGAAAATGTTAATACTAAAAGAAGAATTAATTGCCAGATGTGAAGGTATGAGGAGGGCGCTAACAGCTAATGATATAGAAGAGGTAATTGTTATATTCTGAATAGTGACAATGTACAGTTTCAGATATGGCTGCATGTAAAATATTGCCATCTAGAAGTTGTAATTCTCCACGATCCAGTACATCTAAACTCTTGCCATCTAGCAGTTGTGATTCTGCACAACCCAGTACATCTAAAATATTGCTATCTAGCAGTTGTGTGTCATTAAAAAATTAAATAATTGTTTATTTCTAGCTGGTAAATTACTCTGAAAGTGCCATGATAAGGTGCTCAATATGCAATAATATTAAAGAACATTTTAATCCTCATCCCCATAAACTTGTAGTGGAATATGGCAGAGGGGAAATTGAAGATCCCCTCCATCTTCGCGTTGCACCTGTAGAAGGATTTTTTGCAAGGCAAGGCAGTTTATCTTTTCAATAAAAAAAAATGTATTTTCTTTATCAGGTTCGGGGGCATGGGTATCATACATACTCCCAGAAGAGCTTACCAATATATACTAACTTTATTCATATCACAGTTGACAATAAAAGAGACGATAAAACGCGTCTTGTAAAAAAAATAACTATTACAACTCAGTAATTGCAATAATATTCCGAACTTTTATAGGATTTATGAATGAAACATTCTGTCTCCTGAGTTGTAATGTCTTTAGGCGCCAGGAATTTTAACACGCCTGGAACAAGTAGTATGAATTATAATGATGGTAGGTCGATACTTTAGGTTTCAATTTAATCCGATTGACAATAATTATTTCAGCCCCTTAGTTAGCATTTGTTGAGCAGCCAGCCAACAAATTTTGTTTCAAATATAAGTCTGAAAAGCTTGGTACCCATGGTTGCCTTAAAGGTATAACCTCTAATGGTACAAGAAAGCCAACTTATCCTACTGTTCAGGTGATAAAAGAAATCCGATGTCATCCAAAAACTCTAGAAGTGCCAAGGCCCATGATAAGGTGCTCAATATACAATATTATTAAAGAAGATTTTAATCCTCATTCCCATAAACTTGTAGTGGAATAGGGCAGAGGGGAAATTGAAGATCCCCTCCATCTTCGCATTGGACCTGTAGAAGGGTTTTTTGCAAGGCAGTTTTTTTTTTTTTCAATAAAAAAAATGCATTTCCTTTTTCAGGTTCAGGGTCATGGGTATCATACATACTCCCAGAAAAAATATTGTGGAGGAATTGGTCAAGAAAATGTTAATAGAATAGAATAGAATAGTAGCTCTATTTCAAATTAAGTTTTTACAATACATATTACAGCATTACAAAATAACATGAAATGAAATGGCGTCACAAAACAATATACTTATAAATTACATATCCAAGTAATCTTTCACACAATATGGTTCTATGTCTATTAACAATTTCTTGGTTTTATTTTTAAATTCCTTGTAGTTTTTTATTATTTTAAAGTCGTTTGGTAATTTATTAAATATTTTAATACAGTTGTAAGATGGATTTTTTTCACTTAAAGTTAATCTATGAATAGGATAATAAATATATGTGGTCCTTGTATTGTATGTGGTGTTTGTGTTATTTATTAAAAATTCATTTTTGTATTTATGCAAATATGAAAGGCATTCGTGTATGTATAGACCATAAACTGTTAAAATACCCAACTCCCTGAATTTGCCTCTGCAGGAGTCTCTGAAACTCATGTTAAGCAATAACCTGATAGTTCGCTTTTGGTCTACAAAGACTGATTGTGTTGAAGAACTGACTCTCCAGAAAATGATACCGTACCTCATCCGAGACTCAAAATTTGCATAGTGAAGGATTTTTTTTAACTTTGTCTTCTACATATTTGTTTAGTACTCTGAGTGCAAAACAAACACCATTCAATTTTTTCACTAAACTTTCAATGTATGTGGACCATTTTAGAAATTCGTCAATTATAACACCTAAAAAAAAATACTAAAAGAAGAATTAATTGCCAGATCTGAAGGTATGAGGAGGGCGCTAACAGCTAATGAAATAGAAGAGGTAATAGTTATATTCTGAATAGTGACAATGTACAGTTTCAGATATGGCTACATGTGAAATATTGCCATCTAGAAGTTGTGATTCTCCACAACCCAGTACATCTAAAATATTGCTATCTAGCAGTTGTGTGTCATCCAAAAATTAAATAATTGTTTATTTCTAGCTGGTAAATTACTCTGAAAGTGCCATGATAAGGTGCTCAATATACAATATAATTAAATGAACATTTTAATCCTCACCCCCATAAACTTGTAGTGGGATATGGCAGAGGGGAAATTGAAGATCTCCTCCATCTTCGCGTTGCACCTGTAGAAGGATTTTTTGCAAGGCAAGGCAGTTTTTTTTTCAATAAAAAAAAAATGTATTTTCTTTTTCAGGTTCGGGGGCATGAGGATCATACATACTCCCAGAAGAAATATTGTGGAGGAATTGGTCAAGAAAATGTTAATACTAAAAGAAGAATTAATTGCCAGATGTGAAGGTATGAGGAGGGCGCTAACAGCTAATAAAATAGAAGAGGTGATAGTTATATTCTGAATAGTGACAATGTACAGTTTCAGATATGGCTACATGTAAAATATTGCCATCTTGAAGTTGTGATTCTCCACAACCCAGTACATCTAAAATATTGCTATCTAGCAGTTGTGATTCTGCACAACCCAGTACATCTAAAATATTGCTATCCAGCAGATGTGTGTCATCCAAAAATTAAGTAATTGTTTATTTCTAGCTGGTTAATTACTCTGAAAGTGCCATGATAAGGTGCTCAATATACAATATTATTAAAAAAACATTTTAATCCTCATCCTAATAAACTTGTAGTGGAATATGGCAGAGGGGAAATTGAAGATCCCCTCCATCTTCGCGTTGCACCTGTAGAAGGATTCTTTGCAAGGCAAGGCAGTTTTTCTTTTCAATTAAAAAAAATGTATTTTCTTTTTCAGGTTCGAGGCATGGGGATCATACATACTCCTAGAAGAAATATTGTGGAAGAATTGGTCAAGAAAATGTTAATACTAAAAGAAGAATTGATTGCCAGATGTGAAGGTATGAGGAGGGCGCTAACAGCTAATGAAATAGAAGAGGTAATAGTTATATTCCGAATAGTTACAATGTGCAGTTTCAGATATAACTACATGTAAAATATTGTCATCTAGAAGTTGTGATTCTCCACAACCCAGTACATCTAAAATATTGCCATCTAGAAGTTGTGATTCTGCACAACCCAGTACCTCTAAAATATTGCTATCTAGTAGTTGTGTGTCATCCAAAAATTAAATAATTGTTTATTTCTAGCTGGTACATTACTCTGAAAGTGCCATGATAAGGTGCTCAATATACAATATTATTGAAGAACATTTTAATCCTCATCCCCCCATAAACTTGTAGTGGATTATGGCAGAGGGAAAATTGAAGATCCCCTCCATCTTCGCGTTGCACCTGTAGAAGGATTTTTTGCAAGGCAAGGCAGTTTTTCTTTTCAATAAAAAAAAATGCATTTTCTTTTTCAGGGTCGGGTGCATGGGGATCATACATATGTAATGTCACATTTTTGATTTACGACATTTCCTATTATGGAACCAGCACCAACACCTAAAGTTGAGTAGATTTACATTTTATTATGTAGCAACTATTTCATTTACATATTTGCCAGTATAGTTATTTATTTATTATAACAGTCTTCATCAATTTGATGACTGTTGTGATTTTGCAATTTTGGCTAGATGTGCAGCCGCCAAAATGTCGGGGTGCCAGGTTTCACATCGTCTGAGTCTGACATAATTTGGTTATGGGACTGTCTACAACTTAAGAGCTCGATGTCCAGGAAGTTTGAGGGAGCATTTCGGCCCTAAAAGATATATTATTAGTTCATAAAGGTAAATTTACGATGCAACTAGATCTACAAGGTTCCACTATTTACATCATTTAAACCTACAATAAAAATGTGTGTTAGGGCCTTCTTTTGTATTTAATGTATCGATTACTTGCCAGTTTTATCAGAGCAGCAGGCCTTTGCTACTAAATTCCCCTGGATATTAATATTATCGGCCCTCTTATAAAGGTGCGTACAGACATGCAACAGAACGCCGTAACGTAACTTCACCGCGTAACAAGTACGCGACATATCTGGACCGTACTCTGCAACATCGTAGCAGTACAGCAACCGCGTAACACCGTAACATCGCAGCGTCCCATCGGTTGTCGGTAAATCGACACCGCATCAAAGAAATGTTCGCGGCGATGTTGCACTTGATTTTTTTAGTCTGGACGTGCTTGCGAACCCGGTGCCGTTGTTTTGGTTTTGCCCTTTTGTATTTCCACTATTTCCAGTCAAATTCAGTTGCTATTTTGATTTCGATAGAAATGGAGTGGACGGAAGACAGTGTGCTTGAGTTTATCGAAATTTATAGAGGGAAGGAAATTTTATGGAATAACAAACATCCCAGATATTTTAATAAAATTCAGAAAAATGATGCGTGGGAAGATGTCGCAAGAAGTGTAGGTGCTACGATTGACGAGTGCAAGAAGAAAATTAGTGCGTTGCAGTCAGCGCTGAGGCGGGAAAAGTCAAAAATTAAAAAAAGCATGGGCACCGGAACAGGTAAAGATTTATTAATTAATTAAATTTTTTTGACACTTCTAACAGCCAATTTTTTTAACAACTTTCTCAAGCTTGTTGCCTTCAACAAGCTTTCGAAACCTGTTAAAAAAATGTTTTCGAACAATTATCAATGTCCTTGGGTTGTTACTACTGGTATAGTTTTTCCAAAGTCAATTGGAACAAGGTAAACATAAATCATACTGGTGGCCGGCTGACTAGTGGCAGTGGCGGCAGTGCATTTCTTATGGAACTTTCCAGTGACCATCAGTCAGCCACCAGTTGGTACCTTGTTCCAATTGACTTTTGTAATAGTATAATATGAATTGATTAATATACTATTATTTCAATTGTAGGGCGTTCCGATGTGTATGAAAGTTCTTGGTTCGCATTCAAGAGCTTGCTATTCCTGTGGGACAAAAACAAAGTACGCAATACTCAAAGCTCTGTAAGTGTTTATTTATTTATTTATTTATTTTTTTCAATATTATTTAAGTATATTTATCTTGCCACAAAATCCGCCCTTCATTTTGAAAGAAATCAGCCAATTCTTCTCGAATTGCTTTAGCCTGTATGGATGGTTTTCTGGGAATATTTCTGAGAGGAAGTAGCGAAGTAGTTGGTTCATTACTTGAAGCTCTCGCTCCATCGACAAGTTTTCCCTCTACTTCCGTATCGAATGTTCCGTTTGGTGTATACAAGTGACAGGAGGAGGAACTTTTCCTTAAGAAATTATGTAAGTGAGCTATTGCCATTACAATGAGCTCAGCCTTTTCAGGACTTAGCAGCATGGGTTTCCGGAGTGCTCTAAATACTGCTGAAGCAATACCAAATACATTCTCTACGACTCTTCGCGCGCGAGATAATCTATAATTATAAACCCTTTGTAATGATCCTTTGGGGTGAATTCCCGAAAACGGTTTCATTAATGTATCAGTGAGAGCAAACGCCTCATCTCCAATGAAAAAATAGGGAATTTCGCGTTGTCTACCATCCAAAGCTTCAGCTAGTGGCAATCTTAACTCATTTTTTTCTAGTTTTTTGAACAGGGAACAATTTTTGAAAATGCCACCATCAGAAATTCTTCCTTGGCCTCCAGCATCAACATACAAAAAGTTGTAATGAGCATCTACTACTGCAAAAAGAACTATGCTGAATGTCGATTTGTAGTTAAAAAAATCGCTTCCTGTATTAATAGGTGCTTGCAAAACGACGTGTTTTCCATCGATTGCCCCTAGGCAGTGCGGAAAGTTCCAAATATCGTTGTATTGTTTTGCTACTTGTAACCACCCCTCTGATGTTGTTGGTATCTGTAAAAAATATCGTTTTCAGAAACTTCAAAGAATAATGATTCTACTAACTAAAAAACCTTGAATTTATGACCTGATCTACAAGACATTTCTTTCCCAACCCAGAAAACTATTTTGTCATATTATCGAAAAAATATCAACAGAACTTTTTATTTGGTTGCAGATTGATAAAGAAACAGACGAAAGTAATGATGTAGATGATGATACCGCTTTGCAAGATATGAATCCGGACTCTGAGGAGCCCCAGAAGACTAACGACATACAAGAGCCTGACGAGACTGAAGAGCATCATGAGATTCAGAAGCCTCACGGGACTCAGCAGTCTCACGAGACTCATGAGCTTCGCGTGACCCAGGAGCCCAACGAGTCTCAGCAGACTCCAAAGACTCGGATTAGAGTCAGTAACAAGGAAAGAAAACCCCCTCAGATGACTCATAGTATCCCGAACAAAAAACGTGCAGTTGAAAAATTGGATGCTGCTTTCGAAATTCTAACAAAGGCATCGAATAAGGAACCACCGCAGGATCCAAGCGAATGTCAAATATTTGGAAATCTTGTAGCCAAGAAACTTAGTAAATATTCGAACGTAGCACAAACGGCAGTACAAGAAGCCATCATGAATATTTTATTTGCGGCAGACAAGGGGTATTATAATCAATATCCCGCTCCAAGAGGTTATCAATCAAACAATTATTCCACAATCCAAAGCGAACTTGTACAACGTGATTCGGTTTACCAAGATACTCAGTTGATACAATCCCCATATTCACCCCGTCCCGCAGCTCATTGGGATTTTGCAACTGACGCATCATCCCAAGCGCCTCAGTTTTCACCGGTACCACTGCCACTAATATCTCCAGCATCAGCAAGTTCACAATGCTCGGGTATGACAAATTATTCCGCTTCTACCAGCAATCCACCCCCATTTACCAGTGCAACATTACTAACTGATTTAAACTTGCCAGATAATTAAATGATATTCAAGAACAAAATTTTATAGAAAAATGTTTTATAATAAAGAATTTTGAGCAATAAATAAATCAACATACCTGTATATTCTCCTTCAACCCTTCTATGAGAGCTTCACACACTTCTGGTACTATAGCGCTTATCGATTGTTTCGAAATTTTGAACAGATATTGCAGACTCGTGAAGGAATCTCCAGTCGCCAGAAAACGCATTGTTACTGCCAATCTTTCCTGAACCGAAATAGCTTGTCTCCAATTAGTGTCTCTTCTTGATACTTTTGGACCGATTAGGTTAATCAAAAATTCAAAATCAGTTGGCGACATTCTGGTAAAGTTTTTGTATAGACCACTCACAGACTGGAAGTTTAGGTCTCTCAATAAATGACGACCACTGTACACAGTTCTACTGGTGTATAATTGAGTCTGCCACCAGCGTCTTGGTCTGCGTTTTCTCTTATGCACTAAATAGTGCATAACTATGTAAGCTGCAGCAGCAATGTCCATCTTGCTTGAACGTAGATACCAACTAACTAAAAACGTTGCTAAAAAGCTGGGACGCCTAAATGTTCCGCGCCGATGTTGCGCGGCGATGTTCTGTTGCACCAAACTAAACCCACTTTCCTCATCGCAACGTAACAACGTCGCGCAACAGAACATGTCGCGTGCTTGATACGCGGTGAAGTTACGTTACGGCTTTCTGTTGCATGTCTGTACGCACCTTTAGATTTTCTCGACAGTCGGTTGTTTACATCGATCAGCTGTTTGTTGCTATTCTATTGTTGCTATTAGTCAAATGTCAAATTGCGGTACAGACAGCCGTTCGAAATCGAGCCGTGATTTTTGATAAATTTCTGGTTAGCATGGCTTCTCGGTAGAGTTAGGCTGTGGTTTTTCAAGTTACCAGGTTGGGTTGGTTGTTCGGTGTTCGACCCTCATTGGTCAGCTGGGTTTGTGTACTACTTTTCGCACCGCGGAGTATCAGGAAATTGTTTTTATTTATAGAGGGTGTATAAGTGTGACGGGGTAGATGGATCTGCAAACCTCCTTTTCTTCCGGTTCCTACGCCGATTTTCTTTGGATTTTCCTACGCCAAAGCTGTGGTGAGCCACGACACTCTGGTTTGAGTTCCCGACTTGTAAACACTTTTGTCCAAGAAAAATAAAATAAAATTGTGCTCCATGCCTAAGCAACCTAATTTTGAGCCACAACATATATTTTTGCTGGCATCCATTTGGGGATTATATTTGAGGTTGCTGCCGTGGAAATTATCCGAGTGTATTAGTGATTATTGCGGATTTCCACTCTCCTTGTTGGAGGATTCTTGTTGGCACGTGCTAGCACACCCCTTGGAGACCCTTAACATCGAGGCCCCATTCGATTCTGGTTCTCGGCTTAGCTGGAAATTGGAGGAAATTATTGGTGAGTCAAGGTTTTCCTATTTTAAGGGCACATTCCTTTGCGATTTATTTCTGTCAACATGGCCGATTGAATAACGCCATTTTGTAGTGAAATCTGTTGGAATTTGTCAGCTTCCCTGAGGGTTGAATCGATATTTATTCTAGGGGGTGCCTTGCTGGTCGATTATCTCTAAGCCACCTGTGTTCATTGACTTGGCGTTAGGTCAAGGTTGCTTCTGTTCGATCGGTGCCCCTGTACCCGTTGTTCCCGTGCTCGTTACTTTGGACTGGGTGTAACTGACATTTGGATAAAGAAAACTCTCAATAATTGAGGTGAGTTTATCTTGATTTTTCGGGTTTTTCCCATAGGGTTTTTATTAACTGGAATACTAAAGCCATGCTTTTATTCCAGGGTTTTTTTCTTACGGTTTTAAATCTACAAATCTACAGTTGCTTGTGGGTTGAGTCAAGTACAAGCGTGCCCTTGGAACCAATTAGGATTCCAAGAACTTCTTGAGACCCATGCTATCATGATCAGGTTTACTATAACCATTATTATTACTGTTATTTCCTTTTGCATTTATCATTAATTTAATTGACTGCTACCTGTTTAGTAGCAAGGTGGTTGCGCATATTGTGAACCAAGAGGTTATGACGTCATATCTTCCGGGCGGCGCTAATTGAATTTATATTTCACTTTTCACATTCCTTTAAAGTTGGAGTGGTTTGAATATTTTGTCAGTCGCGGTTGTTTAAACAAATTTATGCCTAAATATGGGTAATTTAATAAAGAAAAATTACAGTATAAAGAAAAAAGGTCATAACACTGTGAAACAAATAAGATATTTACGCTTGATTATATGTATGTACACCCTACGACTCAAATAATAATTGTGTCGGTCCATAAGACCCTGTCAAGGGTTTTTTTTTCTAGCTTAACAATAAATTGTCACCCAGTTCCAAATTATTTGTGTGGTTTCTCTATTGTTATTTTATTTTGTGGACCCATTCACAGCAAAGCAAGTACCTAGTTATATATATAATCTTATTATATTATTTAATATTATATAATATTATTATCTCATATTAGGTAGCTAGGTTATTTATTCAGTTTTCAGGTTTAATTGGCTTCGTTGGTATATACAGGGTGATACACTAGAGGAGCAATTCGTGATTAGTGCTACCCCTAGTTTTTTTTAATTAATAGAAATCCCAACAGCTTATTTGGTTGTACACTTTGGTGTTTAATTACATGGCGTAATTTTTTTTACCGAATCCACCCCAAAGCGTCTAAAGCTGGGCCACCATAAGTGTTACACTCGGAGATCATCCTGTTATACTCAACTGCCTCAAGGGATATTGGTCAAGAAAATATTAATACTAAAAGAAGAATAAATTATCAGATGTGAAGGTATGAGAAGGGCGCTTAACAGCTAATGAAATAGAAAAGGTGATGGTTATATTCTGAATAGTGACAATGTACAGTTTGTAACACTTTTATTTTACGTAAGAAAAATCAATTACCAAAATGTAACCTTATTTGGATTGCGACCTTAGTTCAACAGAGTTTGTTAAAGTGTCCACGTGCCCGGTTCGTGGATTCGTGCGCCACCAATTTTTGAAACTAAATCGGAAAAGTCCTGCGATGACTGCAGGTTGAACTAAAGTACAAACCAAATTATTATGCCTGAAATGTAAGAAAATAATTGGATAAGCAAAAAGACAAAGAAAGCAGGTAATTGGCAATACATACAACAAAATCAGTATTTATTGAATATTAAGTATTGATTTAGTACAAGTTATGGTGATTAAATAATGATTATGACAAGTATTCAGAGGCTAGTATGACGACTAGCAGGAATAAAGAACATAAAGGCTTCCTCATAGTCAGATTTAAGAAAACTGTCTGTCGGTATTGATATGTATGAATACCTATGTAAGCAGAGAGCTATACTTAAAACTAAAATAACCAATAAGTGCGAATTAACACACACCCAGCGTCAGTGATCACTCCGCAAATAAATGGGGTCAAATGTTTACTTAAATGTGAGTAACTAAAGTTACCTAAGCCATATACGATATTTTGAAATAATTAATAAAAAAAATTACACTAAACTACTTAGCTTTATGCCGACAATTAACAATGGGTCTGGGATTTCACACTCGTACCAGATGATCTATCTCATCAATGAAAACTAGTTCGCCGAGTCTTTGCTATTCAGATACAGTGGTGGGTACTGCATACCATCAAAACATCCACTGAGTTGCGTTATCGAAAACGGTAGCATAAAACCGTACCATAAGACCCTAAAGAAAGCACCAATGAGTAAATAAATTACCCTTAAATCCCCATTGAAATTATGCCACTTGGGATATGAAATTGTACATTTCAATTCCCAAGTTTTAACCCATTTACCAAATACAATGAGTTCAATTCATTAAATTAAGTTGCATTGCCAAAAAAATATTAAAATAAAAAAACTATAAGTCTACCAATCAATGTGGCATAGAATGGTCCCCCAATAAAACATTAAAATGGAAAATTGCCATTATAATTACCTCGTGGATTTTTGAGGGTCACAGCTCAAAGGTTGAAGGTGAACGGAAGGTCATGGAACTCTAATTTCACCTACGCTGGCTGATCCAATTTGGAAGTTCACAATAACGAGCAACAATAAAATCAAGGCTCTAAGAGTCTAGGCTCAAACAATTCAATCCAAGCGACGTGATGTGATATTCTATTGTGAGAATAGAACTAATTAATTTACAATAAAACAAATTCACAAAATGGTGGACTTACCGACTAGAAGAAATAGATAAATCCCTTAGAAAGGTGATTTGGCTGCCAAAAGGTAACAAAAACCAAAACTAGACTGGCAAAACCAAAATTGAAATTATCTGGATGACCGGATCCTAATTAAATAGAGAAAATCACTTAATTTTCTTTATGGTCAACCGGATAAAAAAACTATTCTTCAGGCCAAAGCCAAAGTGTTCTAGTCGCTGGACGAAATAGAAGAGACCGTTGTACGATTTTTGGAACCTAAACCAGAAATGTCTACGAGTAGATATAGTTTGAGAGTTCTGCATCCTCCGACGCCTCCGACGCCTCCGTGACGTCTGCGCATGCGCCAACCAGAGCGTCGCGACGCCGTGGCGTCATCAGTCAGCTGGCATCTGTCAATGTCACTCATCTGTCAATGTCACCTGTCAATGTCACCTGTCAATGTCAGTCACCTGTCAATGCCACCTGTCAATGTCAGTCATCTGTCAATGTCAGTCACCTGTCAATGTCACCTGTCACTGTCACCTGTCAATGTCAGCTGTCAATGTCAGCTGTCAGTGTCAGCTGTCAGTGTCAGTCAGCTGTCAATGTCAGCTGTCAATGTCACCTACCTGAACTACTCCAACTTACCCGCTCTCTGCGCCATCTATAAACCCCGTATAATATTACTGTGTATTTTTTATATTTCTACATGTACAGATGAAAAAATACGTGAATTTATACATGAAGAAATATAAAGAAACAGATGGGCAAAAAAAAAAATACTAACCTCAAACAATTTTTTATTTAAAAACATACATTTTTTAAGACTCAACTATTTCAAAAAGCGATATTTGGTTTGGTCGTCCTACATCCTTCTGGCCTCTGTATATTATTGAATATTTTCCATCCATAAACTGCTCAATATGATCTTCCAATGATTTGGTGGTACGTTTTGGAAGAAACACTGCCTTATCGTCAAGTTCAATGAGGATACTCGGTCCGAATTTACTTTGGGTTTTTTTAGCAGAAAATATTGGGTACTTTCTGCCAGGCTCCATGTCTTGTAATTTCACAAGTGTTTTTTGATTCTTGAAGAGGCACGACTCGTTGATTGATTTCAAATCCATATCTAAAAAATATT